CCTCAAGACGCCATTGTTTTCGGTCTTCAATTCCTCACAGGTCACGTGGTACAGTTCCCGTTCTATAAGTGTAGAATTCTGTGGGTCTGACTGACCGTCCGTGTTGGGCGTTAATATGTTGTAGCTAAGACGACGCCCAAGTTTCGTCCGGACGCGAGATAGGGCAATTGAGACATCGTGGTAGTAGCTAGACTAGACAATCTTACTAACATCGCGACACTGCATTTCTATTGTTAGTAACTTTGTCACCGGTGTACCACGCCAAACTGACTCTACCCCAGAAAGACTCTAGAATCAAAATGGCGACCGCCGGCCCCCAGAAAGACTCTAGAATCAAAATGGCGGCCGCCGGCCCCCAGATTGACTCCCTCTACGCGAAAATGGCTGTAGCCCAAGGGGGGATAACGGTAAACCGAAAAAAATAATCCCCTACAGTTATCGTTCTCTTTTTACCTCTAAATTTAGTGGGTTTTTGGGTCGATTTGATGTTTTAGTTTTTTCGCGGTACATTTAGTAGTTTTTGTTGTTTCAGTTTATTTTACTTAAAACAACAATAATGTAAAATCGATTAAATAATTTTGTCAATCTTTTGTTTGATCTAAAAGTTATAAACAAAACCCCAAAAAATTAATGAATGCGAAAATGATGACTAACGAAGTTTAATCTATAGGCCAAGTACTGTAGGCCTACAGATTTTCTTTAAAATCACCATTGAATAAGTTTGACTAGGCCAAAATAAAGAACCAGTTATTACAGCAAAAGAGGTAATAATAAATAATATGTAATGTAAGGCAGATGAAAAAAAAACTAGTTTTGTTTTATCCCATTTAGTGAAATAAAATAAAAGTTCTAGATCTAGATCTAGAATTAGAATCTTTTGGTTTCTTAAAAATCTGGATGACATTTGTAAACAATGCCTCTACAATTCTATACTCTTCTGGACTACAGAATAGGTTACACATGTTGATGAAAACAGGACAACACATTTGATAATTGAATTCTAGCTAATCTAGATCTATAAAATAATGTCGATCAAGCATAAAACCAAAACATGTCTTGATAACGTAGCCTGAAAACTGGACTAGGCGTAGATCTAGATTAGATCTAAATCTAGATTTAGATCTAGATCTATATCTAGATTTTAGATCTAGATCTAGATCTAGATTCTAGAATCTAGATTCTCATCAGTAGTTACATAAGAAAAAAAGTCATCTAGATCTAGATCTATAGGATTCCAGCATATGCGTGCCTTAGCCTAAACATGTTGATCTAGCTAATAACATAAGCAGTAATTTAAGATAATAAAGGTTAATACACTTTTACTTATATAAATTTTACTAATTAGTTACAATATCCACGCAGAGGGTCTGTGGAAAGGCAACAACTGTAGAAACAGAAAACAGACTTCGTTTTGTGTAGGCTAGGCCTAGGATAAAAACAGAAATACATGTACAACAATGACAGATCATATATATATATATCACCGTGTGGTTCTCGGGGCCCTGTCCAAGAGACAGGGGAGCAAAGAATAGGACCACTGTATCCGTACCGCGCATGTCGTACAAG